TTTTATTGATACCAACCGTAACTCTCAGCTTTTCACATGCAGATTAGAACTAACTCATAATTAAACAATCATAAAAAATGACTTTGAGTTTCAAGAAGTATATACTTCCATAAGCATGATTCTATGTCAAGTTCACTATTACTTACTTTACTCATCCATCAAGGAAGCATTATATTGTGTATGTATTTGCTCTATCTTGATCCAAAGCTAACAAAATGTATATGCATAAAAAGTATTGCACTTGATATCGATAGATAACACATTTTGTATCTAAGTAATAATAATATCATTACATTAAAGTTAGTATTCTATGAGGAGATCATCGAAATATGATGATTCCTTCAAACTCCTGTCGATAAACTCTATTTTGTTCTTAATCCATAAAGTATTTTTCATCGATCTCGCCAAAGTGCAATAGTTGTTTGAATTAAACAAATATTAGAAGCAATGCACCTAAGTTTTTGCTGACTTTGATGTAGTATGAAATATTCAAGTGAGATGGATCGATGATATTTCCACTCGATGAGGTTGGATTTTGAAGAGGAGTCGAATTACGCTGTTTATTTTGAGTTTTCATTCTCCATTCTTGCTATGATACCACGTAAAAAAAAAAAAAAATTTGATATAAGCACAAATACAGAATCTAAACAAATCTTAACAAGAAAGAAATGAAGAAGACTAAAGAAAAAATGGAAGAGGCGGCAATTTGATAAAATCCTAATTAGGTTTTCCATTTTCTTTCTTATTTAATTTATTCTTGAGGAAATATATATATATATATATATATTTATATGGGATACAAAATGGGGTATACCTACACACTACACTACATACATATTTATGTTCTCCTTTTAATCTTACCTCTATATACATATATACATACATTATATGTACGTGGATCTTCTTAAGGGTGCCACGACCTGCCTTAATATTTTTGAAATTTTATTTGTCATTGCTTTTAAGAAAATAAAAGTAAATTAGAGTAAAGAGGGAGTTTCAAGAACTCCTTGTAACCTTATCAAATTTAATTTAACAACTTTGCAAATGGCAGTTGAATATATATATATATATACACACATATACAGTAATGTATATATGTAAGTATGCGTTTTTTAAGAGTGATTAGATCGATTTCAAAGTTGACATGGTCCAAAAAATAAAAATAAAAAATAAAAAATTATAAACCCATTTTAGGTTCGGGTGACATGTTCAAATTCAATTTGTTGAAATCTACCTGAGCACCGTTATATGTATATATATATATTGATATTAATTTAAATATTATTTATATTTTATACATGTATTTTTGTAAATAATGATAAAAATAATAAAATTTATTCATTTATTACTGAGTTTAGGATGGATTTAGATTCATATTTTATAAGTTCGGGACAAAATAGTTGAGTATGATGAAATTCGCATTCGATGTCAGTCCTAATTTTAAATGTCATTTTACTCTAAAATATAATTAAAAAGTATATTATCAAAAGACTTTTAACTTAAACTAATAATATTTATATCATTTTATACACAGAATTTAGCAGAGTTTGAATTTAATATAAATAAATTTTGGTTATTAACGAGTTGGATTTTTAAAAAAAAAAAAATTTGTAAAAAAATTATCAAAACACTACTTAATTGAATAGTGATTTTTCTTTCATAAGATTTTGTGGATTTGAATTAGGTTGTATTTACTTTGTGTTATAATTAATATTTATGTATTATTTAATTAATAATTATAATTTATTTTTTTTAAAAAAATATTAAATATGAATAGATTTAACCACTTGTTTACATTAATTTAAATCAATTTGATTGGTCATAATAGATCAAACCCATTTTATATTTATGCAATATATATATATATATATACGTATATAATTATATTTATGTGAACAATCAATATTATAAATTATATATATATATCATATTTATTATAATAAATACAATTTGGACACAAATATTAAATAAGCTAATTCAAGTTTTTTATTGCTTAATTTGTAACGCCCGAAAAATATGGAAAAAAAATTGATTATTTTATTTTAAATATTTTAATTAGGTTTAAAAAAAAAAAATACCGCCACATCAGCAGCCACGTCAGCAGACCTAGTCAGCAGTTATGACCAACCAGGACCTGCCACGTGGCAAAATCACGTCGACCGGGGACGAGCCACGTTGGCGATCCACGTACGCGCGATCGGACGGCCCAGATCAAGCGTGCGCACGGACGGCCCAGATGCAATCGCACGGACGGCCCAGATTCAATCAAAAACAGACGGCCCAGATTAAATCAAAATAGACGGCTGAGATCAAAAGGCAAAAGGGTATAAATAGAACCCCCATACCTGACCACAAAAACCCTAGCCGCCTGCCCTCGCCGGAGAAGACGAACCAGACGCCGGAGAAGCCTGTCGCCGCCACCCGCTGCCGCACCGGGGAGATTTTCGACCGCCGATCGAGGTAAATTTCATACCCCCGACTCGTTTTTCCACGCTGATTTCCCCTGTGGCAAAATCGGAGCCAAAATCCCGGCCAAACGGTCGAAACCCAGCGACGCCGCCGCGCCCCTCCTCGGTTTTTGCCTCCGATGAGGCCCTTCCCGGCCTCCATTTGATGCAATTTTTATATCACTGTGATCACCATTCTTTTCTCTACAGGTTGATCGGAGCCGAATCACCAAAACACGAACCTCACCGGAGAGCTGCCGCACCCGAGAGCACCGCCGCCGGTAAGCTTCGGTTTTTCGTAATTTTTTGCCCCCCCGAGGGCCCTAGGGTTGTTTTATCGCAAGGACCGATGCAAGTGTGGCCGAATTCGGCCGAAAACGGCCAAACCGAGGCGAATCGCCGCCGCAAGCGGCGGCGCCGTCGCCGGAGCACAGCGGAGCCGCCTGCCGGAATTGCGATATTGGCCAAAAAGGGGCCCTGGGCCTAATTTGGGATTTTTTGGAATACGTGCAGGTACCAGTAGTGCGTTTCAGTTCCCCGGAAAAAATTCAGGAAAAATTAGGGACAGCTTGTAGGCGCACTGTGAAGCCGGATTCGGACCCCGAAACTAGTAAGAACCCCTCACCCTATTTCCTATCACGGTATTAAAGTTCAATAATGATAAAACGGTATTTCTTGAATCAACGAATGTGTGAAATTACTTAAGGTCGCTAATGGAGCCCGAGTCTAGTGTGTTTGTCGGTTAACTGTTATTTGGCCTATTTTACAGTTTTAAATGCAGTATGAGGTTTGATGTTTTCATTTTATAGTTTCGTGTGCAATGACTGAGATACTGATGCTGTATGTTGCCTGTTTGGCATAAATTACTGTTTTGCTTGTTTGTATGTGAATTGATGATGCTGACTGAGAAAAAGGGGAATGAAAGATTATGTAAATTGGTAATTGTATAATGTGGTCAGTCTGACTAGATATCCTGAGAGATGGTGGACGGACCGGGTCCGTAGGGAACCCTACCGGGATTGTGGTCTCTCATACCGGACGGGGTAATGGGGTTTATAGTTTTGGTGCCCATACCGGACGGGGTATGGGGACGGCCCGTTTCACCCTCATACCGGACGGGGTAATGGGGTTTATAGTTTTGGCGCCTATACCGGACGGGACTGGAATCTGATTTCAAGTGTTAAGGGTTAACGGGTAGCGGGACCCCTATGGATCCTCATGGATACTAGTGGGCTGGTAAATGAGGAAAATATGTTGTGTAATAATTGAATTACAAAAGGCGTGATAAGTATTATGTTATACAGTTTATATATGATTTCACGATGATGATAATGTTATTACTTTCATATACTGTTTTATGAATTTCACTGAGGTAAGTGGATGGTGAAGGATTTATTATTGATAAAAGAATTTGTTGTAAATTATACTCCATTGGTCTTTTTGTGTTTTCTACCCACCTTTACCTCCGTGACGGTGAGATATCGTGATGTCTTTACTGGGCTAGTGTAGCTCATTCCTTATTTAATCATTTCAGATCATGAAGACATTGTTCCCGAGCCCGTTCCGTAGGAGGACGACGAAAGGGATGTCTAAAGACTCCATAGTCATATTCGTAGCTTTTACTTTCGAGTTTCTCCTTTAGCTAGTAGGATCTTTTATATGTTGTGAACACGTTTTTAGTTTTAGTGTAAGGGATGTTAATCGAATTTTTGACTTCGTTTCCGCATTTGATATTTTTAATACACATTTCATTTTAAATTTCCGGAGCCGTTACATAATTGATTCATTATAAATAAATAAGATAACTTGTAAAGATGTCATAATTTCTTTTTTTTTTTTTATTTATCAAATGTCATATATAAATTAGATATATTAATAATAATTTATTATACATCAACATAATCTGTTTAAACATTGTTAATGCGTTTTATTGTCTTAAAGGCAAACTAATAATATAAAAACAACACTAACCTTATCAACTAATATTCTAACATCACAGACTTCTAAATTACTTAAATTATAATAATTAAAATATATTGAAATATTACTCTTACTTCTTTTTTTTTTAAAAAAAAAAACTCTCATTTACACACAATAATTTACTTAATTTCAAAATTCATTTTCTCTTTATATATAATTTTTGAATTTTATAAAATTTCCAAATTGGTGAAAAATCACAATAGAAATTTATACAAAAACGACAAAGATGAGATAATCTAAACACATAATTAAAATTTTTTATATTATCACCACCACAGTATGATTTTCTGTCAATTTTTAATAGAATCAAGCAGCAAAATATATAATATAATTAAAAAAAGATTAAAAACAATAATGAAAAAGTAATAAAAAGGAAAGCGAGACAAAGGATAAACAAAGGGGTGGGGACGGTGTCGTTTTGCGGGTAATCTTACGTAACAGCCAATGATTTCTACCCGCCATCAAGAGACCCCTGACCGCAATCTCTACTTGACTGCACGTTCTTCTTCTTTTTATTTATTTTTTTAAAAAATATATTAAAAATTATCCCTGATAAAGTAACATGCCTGTCACCGACGCCTGTATATTATGTAGTATATTTCCTGATTTATTACGACTGATTAATCGGGTGAATTAAAATCTAGTGAATAAAATAAAGACAGCGTATCAATAACAAATCTTTTATTATACAGCAAGATATATGAGATTATTACCACATCAAATATTTGAATTGTAAAAAGGTTTATTATTATTTTTTCCCCATAAAAGGGTGATTTTTTTTATTTTATTATAACTATATAAGATCTATTTGAAATATTTCAATTATTTCGTATTTATTTATATTAATATTTAGTTTAACAATTCAAAATTTTTTAAATAAATTTGAAGGTAAAAAAGAATTCCAAAGTACCGTATTTACTGGAGAATAATTTCGGTTAGGGTTTTCCGATAAAGTTGTGATGATTTTAAAGTTTGCTAATAGTTTTTTTTAGAAAATAAGAAGTTTTTAAAAAGTTGCTTTATTCTGATTGGATGCGGTTCCTGGTATCTGATTGTGATTGGGCGTTGAGAAAACATGGAAAGAAACAGCTGTCACTGAATCCTTATCCAGATCAAAGGGAGAGAAGATGGACGCGTATGAAAAGCGTAATTAGCTGCAGATGCCAAGTAAACGCCACGCCTTTGCGCGTTTAGCTTGACATGATTCTACCCAAACCGGCCCAATCGCCGGCATTTCTGCACATTCATCCGCTTCACTCCTCCACACTTAACTTAACTTGAACGTTATAACAATTACCCCACCCTTAATTCTCTTGGGTTTTATTTTTGTTTTCTTTGATTTTGATTTAAAGAACATTAGTCGATCGGTGAAATTTCTGGTGTTGAAAGAAGAAGAAGAAGAAGAAGAAGAAGAAGAAGAAGAATGGGGGTAGATTACTACAAGGTGCTGAAAGTGAGTAAGGACGCGAGCGAGGAGGACTTGAAGAGATCCTACAAGAGACTCGCCATGAAGTGGCATCCTGATAAGAACCCACTGGACAAGAAGGCAGCTGAGGCCAATTTCAAGCAAATTTCAGAGGCCTACGACGTCCTCAGCGATCCCCAGAAGCGTCAGATCTACGATCTCTACGGCGAGGAGGGCCTCCTCTCCTCTGATTTCTCCCCCTCCGCCGCTAATGGCACCGGAAACCCGGCCTTTCGCTTCGACCCACGGGACGCCGAGGACATCTTTGCCGAGTTCTTCGGCGGATCCGACGCTCGAGCCGGCGGCGGGAGCGGGAGGACCCGCGGCGGCAGTGGAGGCGGATATGGACGTAGTGTTCATGGGAATGGGAATGGGAATGGTAATCGTAATAGGGACGTGGGGAGTCAAGGAAACAAGAAACCGCCGGCGATAGAGAGCAAGTTGTCGTGCAGTTTAGAGGAGCTTTACAAAGGTGGCAGGAGAAAAATGCGGATCTCTCGTTTCGTTCCAGATGAATTTGGGTTCGTTCATTTTAATTGATTTCCTCATGAAAACCATTAGTTAATCAAATTTGCTTTTGTTGTTTTCCCAATATTTTGAATGCTTGGATTAGAATTTATAATTGCTGATCTTTGAAAGTAAACTGATTTGTTTAATTGGTCCGTTGGAACCCACAGCTTGGATTTAGTCAACTGGGTAGTTTACAATAGGATGAGCATAGAGATTTAAGCAGCCACTGAACTTTAATTCATTGAATTCAATATGGTTGTGGGCCTTATGGCCCTTTCAGAGGCAGGGGGATCAGTATAGTTTATGATTTTAGACATCCCCACCTGCTTCCTTTATGAATAAGATTTTTGTTTTTGACTGTTTTGAGAAATTTGGGAATATATGAACTGAACTTCCATTGATTTATTTTAGAGATATTTGTATAAAGTAGTGGGGTTTTTCATTTGTTTATTTCATCTGGAAAGCAATCATGTTTTTTGTGTTGAGGTGATTACCAGGTGATCCTCTTTTTCTCTCTGGCCTGATCTAGAGATAAACTTTTCTTGCAGCAAGCCAAAAACTGTTGAGGAAATCTTGAAGATAGATCTTAAGCCCGGATGGAAGAAGGGCACAAAGATCACTTTCCCAGAGAAGGGAAACCAAGAACCCGGCACCATCCCTGCTGATCTTATATTCGTGGTGGATGAGAAACCACATCCTGTTTTCAAAAGGGATGGGAATGATTTGATTGTAAATCAAAGTATCTCACTTTTGGAGGCCTTAACAGGGCAGACCCTTAATTTGACGACCTTGGATGGAAGGAATCTCACGATCCCAGTGGTAGATATCGTGAAACCGGGTTGTGAATTGATCATCCCAAATGAAGGAATGCCTATTTCCAAAGATCCCAGCAAGAAGGGAAAGCTTAAAATCAAGTTTGAAGTTGTGTTTCCATCAAGGCTCACCACAGAACAGAAATCTGATCTGAAGAGAGTGCTCGGTTGAGCTGATAATAAACCAGTTTTGAGTTAAATGCTGGAGGCCACAGCTATGCCTTAACACAGATGATATGTAAGTCAATCCAGTGTAAATATTTACATCTAAGTTGTTGACTATTTGTTCATAGTAGGAAGAAAGTTGGAAGTGTGCTGCAAATGGATGTTGGCTGTTAATTCTCTTGGAGTCTATCATCCTCAAATATTGCCTTTAGCAGCTGGAAGGTTGACTTTTTCCGTTGAATTGTGCATACTGCTAGTTATTTGATTGTAGTAGTTTGATTTGAGTTAAATAAGGAACTTTCTTGTTTCTTACCCACACTGAAACATTTGAACTCTGATTTACAGATTTAACCTCACGAATCTCTGTTATGAACAAAGAAAGAATCTTATACCCTGTGTTAAAACACAAATTTTTTCAGAAAAAACTCAGCCTATTTTCTACCCTGCTGGAGCCCCGTTACTGATAGTCATCTTTCTTGGGTTGACTGGCAAGCTCACTCATGTCAGAGCGTATATAGGAATAGAAGGTATTATAAGAAAAAGGTAGTTTACAGATTAATATATATGTATAGTTTTTTTAGATGGGTGAGGAAAGCGTTCCAACTTGAGTAGTCAAATTTTGCAGTAGTGTTGGGTCATCTAATTCAAATGCTCCCAGTATTTATTTACTTCATCAATCGTCTGAGTTGATGAGCGGCATCTTATACTTGTATTTAAACAGGCGTAATAAAACTATACATATATATATATATATATTAATTAAAGATTGTATGATCTTACCTTGGGTATATTTTGATTATACCAGTTCAAAAATTATTTTCACTTCTCACAAAATAAAAACTAAGAGTACCCAGTTGACTAAAATTTTAGTGGAAAAACAAATGTTAAAGAGTGTCTGGAAAAAGAAGAACAATATGGTATTTCTTCTGTAATCAATATTATTAAAATTTATATTAATATGGATATGTAATTAATTAATGAAATATATGAATTTTTTTTTTAATTTAAAAAAGTAATTATTCCATAAATATAAATAAATGATTTCAAAATTGATAACTTTATATAATTAATTTATTTTAAAATTTAAAATACAATGTCCAATTATTTTTCAATTTTTTTTGATCAATTAACGCAGAGAAGTAAAATTGATAACAATAACCAAAAACAAAAAAAAAAAAAAGATAAATAAAAGAAGGTTGTGAGTCAAAACATATAATATTCCAAGATAAAATGCATACATCATTTTATTAAATTGAAACTTGTCGAAGGATCGATGCTACTATCACTCTCTCTCTCTCGTCCTCTATAAACCATACATACATATACTCTGTGCCAGCAGTATAAATATATATATGTACATGAGAGGAAAAAAGAGTTTGATGGTGTGATTAAACCCTGTGTTTCTCAATCTTCTGCAGTAACTCGCCGGGCTTGGCTCCGACCACCCTATCAAGTTCTTCGCCGTTCTTCATGAGAACAATCGTCGGCATTGCATCAACTTCGAACTCCTCAGCCACATCCTGTTTTCATCGTTTACACCCACAGATACATATTCTTCTATTAGAAAATTAATATGTTATACATATATATATTGAATCTGGGAAATTAAAGAGTACTGATATACCCCTAACATGTCGACATCGATCTTGAAAAACTCGATATCTGTGAACTTGGCAGCACAGTCTTTAATGGTGGGTTCCATCAACTTACAGGGTCCGCACCAGCTAGCTGTGAAATCAATCACCACCTTCACCACCAACAACATTATATATAATTAATATCATCACCCGCCTCTGATCAATGCATGCACTCTACGTATTATAACACTCAATCATGGCTAATAATTATATATATATATATATATATAATATGCTTACCAGTGTATTAGTATTTTTCGAGGCATGAAAGCGAGTCTTCCATAGTTTTTTAGAGTGGACCTCTGTGAGCTGAGATGTCTTTCGTTCAAATATCGTCGATGGTTTGGTCTCCAACACTGGTGTATTTGCTTGCTTGGGGGTTGAAATTTCAGCTCCCATGGTTAATTTCTTTCTTGTTTCTGAATTTTGAAGTGGCGATAATCACCACCACAAGCTTTTGTATAACTTCTGATGATAATTAGTGATTGTAGAAAAAGGATGTTTCGTTGTACTTAAAAGATATGTGCATGCCACACACCTTTATATAGACTTGAGTTCAGACATATTCAAAATTTTATATTATATATATATACATTAATGTGTACATATTTATTATAAGAGAATAAGATTCTATGTCTCCATCACTTAATGTTTTGTTCTCAAGAAAAAAAAAAAAAAAAAAAGAACAGAAAATTTTGCAGCCGTGAACTAATTGGGAGAAGTTTTGAATTGCGTAAGGACCTTCTTTTAGATTATTTGACATACTCAAATGCTCCACTAACGTTAGTTGGCCATATATATATATATATAGAATATATATATATATATAGAATATATATATATATGTATATTTTTGATGGTCTTGTCCATCTTGTAATATCCATAAAATGCAATAGACATCAAGGGACAATGAAATAATCTCATAGTTAATTGAAGAGAATCTAACTCGAAGGATTAAAGCGGACGAGAACTACAAATTGAATTTCTTTAGGTAGGAATAAATTTCATCACCATATTGATGTATATGCGGGACAGAGAAAATTAAGCCTACTTCAACACATGTAAGTAATTATTTAGTGAAATATAATGTTTTAGAATTGAATCTCTTCAATAACTTGACGGGTTAGAATTTTATTTCTAAGAGAACAATGAGTCATGGAAAGAAGAGGAATACAAAAAGGTGACAAGAACTTAGAGATAAATGAAGTATAGGTTAAAAGCATTTTAAATATTATTTTTTTTAATAAAAATTTGTATATTTCATTAATTAGATAATATAATCTATCTAATATAAACTTAATAAGTATATATGAAGCGTATAATCTATCTAATATAAACTTACACCCCACATAAAGAGAAAAAAATTATTTTAACACATAAATTAATAATTATAAGATGAGATATATCTATTAAAAATAAATATTATAAAATTAACTTAGATTAAAATATCGTTGTGTTTACTTGATGATTACGCTACTAGGTCTATATAGAGTTTATGCTTAAATTATATGTTTTATTTCAATTTTATTATTATAGACAATTTTTTTAATAAAATACAAACTCTTTATTTAAGGTACTAAAATATTATCAGTGACCACAAGTTATTATGTTGTTCTCAAAATGCAATCCAATTTATTCCTTATGTTATGTGGTGATTTAAAACATAAGTTGAACTTAAGTGGTTATCGAAATGTCAAAAATGTCTAAGTTGCTTATGAAAAATGTGGTTGACGATTAAATTAACAAACCTTAAGGTAGGCTTTATAGGGCAATAGCCTTGCATGAGATGATTTTATGAGTTCTCACTACTTTTTTTCTTTGATTACGAGATGAGTCTAATTATTTAGACTACCATATTTATGATTGTCTTTTTATCTCTTGCTATCACCGTAATTTTTTTTTTTTTGAAATGCTCCTCATCAATCCTATTCAAATATTCTTACTTCCAAATTCTTAATCTATTCTATTTCATTCATTTTTTATCTCTTTAAGTCAATTTATTTCTTATATCATTCTCTTCAAATTGTCTAACCATTCGAGCTTATCTTAAATTATTCTTTTTCAACTTCTTAAATATACCTTCAAATTTTTCTCAATTTATTTCTTTTGTTTATTTAGTTCACATACTCAATTTTATAAGAAAATTGAATTTAATCCCTCATATTATCATTCTCTCCAATTGTCATAAAAAAATAAGGTTATATCTTCTCGTATGACCATTTTACTTTTTAAAGATAATATTATAGAATCTCACGTCAATACGATCATTAAATATTATTATGTGATCCTTAATGAATATACTCTTTTGACTTCTAGAGAGATAAAACAAAGTTTATTGCTTTGGTTATATTTCAAAATTAACTTACCTCTTACTTTTTTAGTTTTTTTCTCTTTTAATATCAAACTACATTCGTCTAAGTATTCTTGAATTTGAAGAAATATGTTAAATTTCATAAAAAAATATATTTTTCTATATGGTTAATATAATACTTTTGTTTGGTAGCCTACCTTTATTTGTTATGGGAGGCTAATTAAATAGGTTGTTTTTATGGGTCACAGCTATATACAAGTCTAAATAAAATACTTTACATATTATGCTATGAGGTGTAAATGAGCTAGTAGATATGTGACATGCAAAAAAGTTTTCCTTTGGGATAGATGTTGTGTCTAGCTTTTGTCTATGCAAAAGAGTTTTATTTGGTGAGGCAGGCATGGGAAGGCCCTCAAGTCAAGTCCACCTTATGATCGTCCATACATATGCCATGGCATCCTCTTTATGATTGTTGGTATTTTTGCATACTTAAATTATTTTAATAAATTAAACATGATTTTTCGATTGTTTTATATTAATCTAAATAGTCTAACTTTGATTTTGAAAATGAAGTTGCGTATTAAGGTCAAGAAGAGCCAATACTTCTTGACTAAATTCTTTAAGTTTTCGAGCTTATTGCTTCATTATCTTATCTACCTCTTCGCTAAATTTTGCCTTCTAACTCTTCGACCCTTTTTTGATAGTATACTATTGAAGGAAGGAAGTGAGCGAATGTGTTAAGTTGGTAATTTTCCAAAATTTTGTTATCTATTGCTATAGTAAACTTTGGTCCTTATCTGTTGCCCTAATTGGAAAAATATAAATCTAAATTAAACCCTCAATTATGTAAATTTGAAACAAAGGAGAGAGAATTAAGTGAATGAAATAAAATGGAAAAAGTGAGTAACCCAACTTTTTTTTGGTTAAACACTAAGACAGAGGAATCAAATAGGGTTAAAAAGAAAGTAAAGTTGACAGAATCTAAATCCATGAATGCTCACCATATCTTCTCCATCTCATGGTGGGTGTTGATTGAAAAGAACAGAAAAAGAAAAAAAAAAGCACGATAAGAATTTACTTGTGGCTGAGGAAGAGCATTAAAAAAAAGAAAAGTTTTACTTTTTTTTAATAATAAAATAAATGTTTCAATTATATATTTTTTGTGAATTTACTATTTATAGCGAATGATAATCTATTTTTATTTTATAATAAAATAATTTACGTTCAATTAGATAGTGTATTAACTATTTAATTTTTACTAATAACTTTTTTAGCGTGAGATTGTAAATTATTAAAATTAAACTGAAATCTAATTGATTCACACTAAAATGTTATTATTAAGTTTATATTTAAAACTTTCAAATTTATGTGATGATTTTGTTTTTAATTTCAGTTTAGTTTGATTATTATATTTTAAATAATTTATTTTTACTTTTTTATATAAGTAGGCAATAAAGTGATTTTCCTCTTTCATCAATAATTTATTTCTCAAAAAGTAGAAATTTTATCTCGACACTTCTTCCTCTTTATTAGTGCATTTTTATGTGTAGATTGTATTATTTTCAATACCATATACACCACATAATTGAAAAAGAAAAAAGGTTATCTTCTTAGAAATTATGAAGATTGGTGGTGGTTCAATATATATATATATATATACATATATATATATATATATAGAGAGAGAGAGAGAGAGAGAGAGAGAGGAAACTGTGATTTTCCTTCTTTTATTTTGTAAAAAGTATTATTTCACATTATTTGTTGTATCACACATTCAAAATATATATTTTGAAAAACCATGATATATACCCAACAGAAGAAAAAGAAACATATGCCATTCCTTTTACTATTTCCCTTAAAAAAAGACACAAGTTCATGATTCCCAAAATTTTTCTAATATTAATAAATCTCTGCCATAATTATTTAAAATTATGTAATAATCAGAAAAGTAGACAGTATTACAAACTTACCACAAAAGTATGATGGCTCCAGAGAGATTGCACTGCCAACCAATAGTTAAGAGTCTTATCATTCTTGTTGGCATTCTGAATCAGAATTTCTGACAATCTCCAGAAACTCAACCTCAAATAACCTTCAACTGGGACATCTCATTCCTACTATTACACCAACTATTAATGTCTAATTACATATGCATTCAATAAAATTCCCACCCACTGGATGCATTTCAATGCTCATTTACAATTCAGTTACTGAAAACTACAAGCATAAGTATCAGTAAGAACAAACACTGAATTGATCCAAACGAGTCATAAGGGAATCAATTGACAGATATTGTGCATCAGGCAGCATTTCTCCTTTTCTCCAATGCACCAGAATCAGCTTGCAAAAAGTTTGAATTCCTTTTTCATGGCAGACATCTTTCAGCAATTCCAACCAGCTTGCTGAGACCAACCCTGAACCAGCTATTTGATGGATTAATTGCTTCAACTTTAACAAAAGATTCTCCATATGATGATCAGTGCATTAGATAACCTACCTGTACTCACCATCAAAATTGTCCTATACCCATAAAATGGAGGAAAATTCAAGCCTCTTCCAAAGAGCAGAATCAATGTATATCACATGAAACAGAGAAAAAGCTAAAATTTCTTCTAAACATTTTCAATAAAAGTCCCCGATTTCAGAAACTACAAAAAGGAAAAGGGTGTCTTGGATGGTTATAACATCGGCTCACATTTCAAAACATTGTTCAAGGAAAGCAAAAGACATATTCACCACCCACCTACAAGACTAGCAACCAGACACCCTATTAAAACGCCTACATATGAGAATGTCAAGAAGCCACACCACCATCAACTGAAGTTCGACCTCCTAGACCTCCCGAGCTATGATTGTTGTAAGGGTGCCCCCCACCCCTGCTGCCTCTCCCCCTGTTGTTATAGTAGTTTCTTTGATAATAATTTCCAGGCTGCTCATAATATTGGTTCCGACCATTCTGATAGGCTCCACCTCCCCTACCACCACTTCGACCTCCACGGCCATTGCTATAACCCCTCCGACCACCACCACTGCCACGACCACCTCTTTGGTTTTGGTAGGACCGCCGCGGAATGTATTGTTGCTCCTTTGATTCAATCTCTCTCTGATTCTGCTCAACTTCATCCTCTTGCTCTGCCTTGAATTGTTCTTGAGAATCCGAAACAACATCTGTACGATTATGAGTCTCTAACTCATCCTGCAATATACAAGCCTCTCGTATTCAGTATCTATTAAAAGGAGGCAAGAGAATGCATCAGGAGTAGACAGTGAGTTCTTAGCTAATTAAATTACCTGCTGATGCTCCTCTGGTGGGCTAGGTTGACTATCATCAGCTTCATCTTGAAAACTACTATCGTCCTGCAGAAATTAAAAGTTGGTACAGAATAAGATATTGAAAAGACACGATCTAAGAAAAAATATATCATATTCACGAGCATATCAATGGATTGGAACCACATTTTCATATTAGAGAAGAGACAAGACAGGACATCCAACAAAAAAACAACTGGGGACCACTAAACTGCTCAAATCCAGCAGCTGCACGACCGTTGCAACTTTCTTCCCCTCAATGCAGCAGGTCAGAAGGTAACTAAACCAAGCAAATTTCTTTACAGAGAAAAACAAAGTGTAAACCCCTTCTATCACCTTGACACATGCACATACATGTGCGCACACAGACACACACATATTGACACAAAAAAATAAACAAATTAAATCTGTAAATTGGAGATATAAGTAGGCATTGAATATCATCTTAGGTGCTGTAACAACAAAAAGAAAAGATGAAATGAAAGTATAGTCCTATCTACCGACCTCAACAACCGAAACTGGATCAGAACTTAAACTATGAGATAAATTACTCTAACAAGAAGTCAAGAACCCCTCGTTATTCCTCTCAAACTTTTCCTTTTGAAACCCCAGCGACTGCCCCTTTTAGACCAAATTTAATTCTCGTAACAAAAGAAGTTGACCTAAGCTCAGCTGTTTTCTAATCATTTATATTCTTGTACATGTCATGTAAGTTCTATTCTGTATTTCTTCTCTATATCTTCACAATAGAGTTCAGATACAGTTCAACCATTCATTTAGTTACTCTTCCATTCAGGATTCAATGATTTCTTGAAGAAATACCATATCTGTGAATCCAACAAACTTCATGCTTTTCCAGATCTTTTCTTTCATTCGGAAAGTATTGTGCTTTTGGTAAAAGTACTGTCTATAATTAATATTATTTCTCAGACATTACATGGTAGATGTATACACGGATGATTGCACATTATACATCATAACACTACTA